TTAACATATTAATATATCATCACCAATTTATAGGTCAATAAATTTTAAAAAAAAATTCAATCAATTTTAGATCCTATTTTCACTGATTCTGAAATGTGTCCATGGTTCTATTGTAAATATGGTTCATCTAGCATATAATGATTCTCTATATTGAAATGTTTTTTGTAACAATTTAAAATAATAAATATGAAAATTCAAATTAAAATCAACTTGCAAATAAATTTTATAAATTTGACTTCTCTTATAAGTTTAATTTATAGTTTAGCACTTATGCACTATATAAAGTGCACATATATATTTTCTCTTCCACCCAAGGATCATTTTCTCTAAAATATAACTTTGTTAGATTTAGCTATGCACTGTTCTATGCTGGAAAGCCACAAGTATTTTGAAATCCATTGTTGTATTTTTATTAAAAGCTCACTGCTTCACAACAAAGTTCTCAATATACAAATCTTGATGCATGTTTTTATCTGGTGAGAATGATATGAATTGTGTTACTAGCATATGAACCAAAAATATATGACATTATTATTATTAGAAATTAGAGATTACAAAATAATTGAATTTATTAATAAAATATGAATATCTTACAAATAGCTACAGCAATGGAACACATTCAATTCAGATAATTTTATAGCACAACTGTTAGGCCTCATCAGTTTGAAATTACTGTATTTCAAAAGATTATTTAACTGATGGGGAATGAATCATAAATGGAAGTAATGTATCAGAAGTCGTCCTGTAATGATTTTCAAAATTCTTATAATAAACATGTATATTTTAGAATAGGAAGAATAAATTTATATTAGTTTGTAATATTATAAATATGTANACTAGTCATTATCAAAATAATGACTTCTTTGAAGATTCTTCAAAGAAGGTTTGGTGCTATAAACAAAGGATGGATCAAGGTTTCTATATTGTAAAGTGCACTCAAACTGAAGGATATGGCTAAAAATGTATGTCATTAAACTTTAAATTTCAGCAGACAGAGTACATTAAATCAAACATTTTTTACCTTTACAAGATCATCATCAAGTACTTTAATAAAACAGAACAATGCTTGTAATTTTTGAAAGTGGCATTCTCTGTTTGGAACTGAAAGTTCAACTGAGTGTACTGAACTATTTTGTTTTGGAATATTAATATTTGAACAAATGTGTCAGAAATACATTTGCTGTTTGGAATGCGTTTCAAAAATTTCAAGCATTGTTCTGTTTTATGAAGATCAGGGCTGGTGCTACTGCATGGTCTCTTGTATTTCTTTCAAAAGCAAAAAAAATAAACATCAGAATTTTTCAGTTATAACCACTGAATTAAAAATATAACAAAAGATTGTTAATACTACTGTTTATTATTTATTAAAATATGTAAATTCATTGTAGACCATTATAAAAAAAAATAGTACAACTTATTTTCTATTTACATTTTATTTAAACATTGTAAATAGATTACAGATTTAAATATATAAATTTAAATTATGCTGAAAATGATGCATATACATGTATAAAGAAGTTATACATAAAAAATGTGCATTATTGTAAACAAATACAACTGAGACTACAGTGTAATTTTAAGTTTCAAATTCAAAATTCAATTACTAGAATTAAATCTAAAATTCACTACAGTAACTATTCTTATTTGATAATTACATATACATTTTTCCTAACAATTATTATTAATGAATAATTACAGTATATAATAATAGTTTATTACAAAAATTCATACATTCAATTATTTTACGTCACTTCTTGTGTTCGTTATCCGATCATGTGTTCGTTGTCCGAACATAAAAATCTTTCGCGAAAGTGTTCGTTATCCAATCACCCACTGTATTTGAAAAATTGATAAGATTGATTGATATTCTAAACAATCAAAAAAGAAAATGACAATTCTGAAGATAGTGTTGAAAAATTTGCTAACTCAAAGTAATCCATTTATATTTCAACAAAATGGTTTCTGTAGAAAATTACAATTTTTAAAATATGACCAAATTGAAAATTAAATCTCTCAGGCTAAAAATTTTATACTGCAATTTTGCCATTTAAAAAAACCCAATATTTCTTAAAACTATCATTTTATACAGAATAAAATGAGACCTAATAATCATCATAATTTTTCTCATTGCCCATTCAATTAGTTTTTTTCCAGAGTCCTCCATTTCTCATTGTTTTGGATCATCTCTAAAAGTAGCCAATTTAGGCCATCCAGGACATCTTAAGAACTAATGCAGTGAATTAAAACAGAGAATACATGGAAATGGTTGGGTAATAATTATAATAATTAGAGTTATTTAATTTACAATTTATAATTTTATTTATACTAAAACTAACTTGAATAAATGCATTTTTTCTAAAGTTACATAAACATTGTAATAACAATTCCAAAAAAAAAAAAAAAAAAAA